ATTTAAAAGACTAACTAGCACATAATCTCTGGCCTCAGTTACTTTTTCCTATCACAGTTATATCAGGATATTACAGATATCCTGCTAGTGGCATAACACATATGTCCAATACCAGAGATAGCAAGAGAGCGATATGGCCCTCAAAGATCCATAAGAAAGGATTTATAAAACCTTATTTGGTGGATAACGTCAGCAAACAAAACTACACAAGTAGTTTTGATTTCCTGTGGTAACTTAAATGAAAGCTCATTTAGATAGTGCTTCAAAGTAACCGCCAAAATAATGGCCCAGAGGCGTTACTAAGATGCCCATGATACCAGACTTGCTCATAGAAGGACTTTGACTTTGACCACCTCTGTGGTAGCTCACCAGCAATCAGCGTGCTACAGTGCAGTCCTGGGATCCCTTTCACAGGTGATTTAGCCCCACTCAAACCTTGAATCATATGACCAGAATAGCAGACATGATGGTAGGGTGGGACTAATGCTGAGTTCCAGATCAAGTCAGAAATCAAAATTTCTGAGTTCCCAGTTTAATCTGGAATGCCCCCTTAACTGAATTTCCTACTCAGAAAGTCAAAGCAACCCCAACAATCAAGAATGAACAATACAAGATGGCAGCAATTAATGTACAAGCAGTAAAACTGTAAAATTTTTAATCTGGACTGCCGCCGTTGTATATTCATGACTCGCTAAACAAGCCATATGCAGAGCACTGACTAGGCTCTCTCCATGCGTGTGCCACAGGCGTGTTTTTAAGTTCCGACAAACAAATATGCTGTATAGCTCTACAATGCTAAAAACCAAAACAAATCCTGATTTTCTTGCTTTTCTGACTTTACTGTTGGAACACACTAGCTAGGAAGTGAAGTCATTCTAGAGTTCTGACTTCCAAGGTTATTGGAACATAGCCAAAGTCTCCAAAATTCAAATTCAGACTGTAACCCATTCCAAAGCGGTTCATTTATGGTGTGAATGTGATCACACCTCAATCAGAATCAAATACCAGGTATACGTTGTAAGTTTGAGCTACAGAAAAATTTCCCATAGCCACATATGCTTTGCATTCTGGGATGCAGCAAGGTACTATAGAAGTGGAAAGGGATGTATAGGCTAGCAACTCGCAGTCAAATGAAAATGTAAATTCTACATGTTCTCTAATAGGAGAACAACACAGGACCCTTTCCCTGCATTTACTTTTGTTGCTCCCCTCTCCAGACACATATGGCCAATAACATTCTCATCTGGTTTGTAGTGATGCATTTTATGTCTGTGAAGGTTCTCAGTCATCCAGGTCATCTCAGGAATTCGCATGATAAGGTGGGGCCAGGTTTCACAATGAACTCACCCGAAACTCTGGCTGATTGGGACCCACACCCAGTTTCACACCTTGGCTCAGGCGATTAGATGATCATCAGGGGGTCCTTTTGTCCCTCTGTGGGGGGATACTCCCACTAGGTTTATATCTGGGACTCTCCACTATTTGACCTTAGAACTGAAGAAGCTTCTCGGATGAGAGGTGAAACGTCTTCAAGTAACTTAAAGAAGTCCAGACGCTTTTCTTTGCAAGCTCCTTTGACTGTGATTTTAGTTCACTTGGATTCTACTCTGTGTAAAAAGAAGTCAGATTACAGGGAAAAGCTACAAGTTTACAAACTCATCAACTGATTTGAATCAGAGTAAAAGAACCATTGGATGTGAAAACTAAGGGTTATATACCAGGGACTCTCCATAGGTTGTTATAGAACTAAAGAAGCCTCTTTCTTCCAAGAGGCTTCTTTACTTTGGTATGTGAACATGAAAACATGTTCACATACCAAAAGAACTCTATTTGCCTTCTTTCCAAGTACTTGAGACTTAGGCTCTAGTGGTAAATATGTTTGAATCCCTACTTAGCTGTTCTCATACCACTGTATCAGGATTTTCTTGGATCAGAACCTCCAACTTCAATGTTAAAATTGTTGAATTTACAGAATTACAAGCAACATAAATCTTTCACAAAAACTGTAAGGAATATATTGTTAAAAAATAAGCCCAAGAAACTGAACTGGAGTCACTGATCACTGATACTTCTCCATCATGTCAGAAGCTCTTTTTTTAATGAATGACAAATATTTGACAAATGACATGGCTTTTTGTGTGTTACCCCTAGTTCATGAAGTCTGCGCATCAGTGTTGGTTAGAGCTGATGCTTAACGGATATTGTGTCTGTATGACATGCCCTTAAACTCTACAGATGCATCTTGATAACAGAGCTATTTAGAGCTAGCTGTTAATTCAGTTCCAAAAAAGCTCCAAATAACTAGCACTGGGAACATTTTTAAGGCTTAAAAAACAGTGGCTGATGTTATGTTGCTATGTCCATCTTTTGGTGACTACACATGCACGCAACTATCAGTCAGTAGGTCAGTCGGAAGGTGCATACTGAGCATTGTTTTGTGCAGAAAAAAAAATCCCTGTGTGTTCTGGTGAGGGCATCCTGAGTAGCGACATATGGTGGGAAGGTGTGGAAACAGCTAAGCAAGTGGATCTTGCTTCCAGATTATGTCCCATATATTTACACCCACCCCTAACCCCACCCCCGAAACTCACACAATAAAACTAATACATGCACTAAGCCAATGAACACTAAAGGGGATCCATTACCTGACAGTATTGTTTGTTGTGTACATTTTCACTCTGTGTATTCTACATGAGTCGAGTGAAAAATGACACCCAAGCCGACAAGCATTGGCGAGGGTGAGATCAAGGCTATGACACAGCGAGCCCGCTACACCTGCGCTCCTTGACAGATCAGTGGCTGGGCTTGACTCCACCAAGGTGACACCATCCACCTGCTGAGCCATTAAGCTGCTCTACTGCCCTCAGGAGAGATTGTATTGTGTGTGTATGTGTGGGCAAGAAATAGAGTGCAACATCAACACCACGTGGCAATCAATACCATGTCATACTGATTGCAAAACCAAACAGGCAGCATTTCCACCTGAGCACCCAACCATTGTTGATCATGGATGCTGACCCTGTGACCTCATGCTGAAAGATGGAGGGGGTCCAAGAAGAGTATGTGTCTCTCAGAAATCAATAAAGGGAGGGGGTTTGTTTACCAGCTGATTGTGACACCTAAAAGGTGCACACTGTGAAAGGGGGATTGTCTCTGAGAACACCAAAGATCAACTAGCAGCTTTGTTAGGTGCACGCGCACGCACACTTCGACGAGCCACATTTAGAGACGTACTCATACAGTACAGAGTACAGTTGGCAGAGAGAACCCTACAATGTAGGTTAGCAGAGTAATCCTTTAGCCCAGGGCAAAGATGTCAGTAGGCCAAGGCAACCTGCTCACAGTCCAGGGACTGAGCTGGTGTGTGCATGTGTGTGTGGCATTATTAATACAAAATACTGGAATTACTAATAAAGTGGAAAATATTCAAGATTAAAGTGTTAAAACTATAATAATCTTGAAGTTTTATGTAGCAGTAATCGGAGGAGCATATCCTCGTCTATCTTTAAGCTTACAGTAACAGAAGCTCTGCTGGACCTCCTAAAGCTCAGCCGATTAGGAAAACGAACAGACTGGTGGCTGCAATCGAAGCGAGCTTAGACTTAAGATATCGGACTCATCGCGCTTAACGCACTGTTGCATTTTAAAAAAGCAACGACTCCTATTCCTAGAAACTGGTCTACATAATGCAGTAAAGCTGTCTGAATCTGCACCTACTGTGCGAGGAATACCAGAAACACTGCGTTTAAGCTCGCTTCACAATCCGGATGGCACGGTTTCCTTACCCCCCCTCTTCCTCCAGGATCCACTGAATGTGCGTCCGTGAGAGCTTTTTATGTCCACCGCAGATGGTAAAATCCACGCTGTAAGTTTTGAACGCGGTGCTCCTCTTGCTTGCAGCTGAACCGCTCCCTCTCAGGTGGGACGTGGTTTGTCCGCGGCAGCCATTCAGACAAATGTGGGAAGCCGCGCACTGAGCTTTCTACTGGAACAATAAAGAGCAACACACACCGCCTCTAGCGCTCCGTGCGCCCCGGCACTGGTGGTGGTGGTGTCAGGGAGAGAAAGTGCAACTTGGGCGGCTCAGCAGCGCCATCGCACGGCCTGAGGAAGGTGTTGGCCATTGGTTTGTTTCTCACAATGAGCACTTTACAGCCTATTTAACTTAATAGAGATTCAAATTATTCAGGCCCCAGAAAACAGACTATATCAGAATATAATAGGAGTAAAGTAAACGTTGGTTAGATTAAAACATTTGAATTTTGTATCAATATTGAAGATAATCCAAAATTACACAATGGGTAATGGGAAATTACAGAATTACACAACTACTAGTAAGGACTACAACACAATGGAGACTTCATACAAATTTTTCACTTTAATTTGACAATTTTTACAATTTAATGTCGAATTTTTTGAGTTTTTTCTATCATTTCACCTAACAGCGATGGTTTACATTGTCTTTTTTTTATTAGGTTGAAAAAATGATTTGTTATAATTAAAATCAAAGGGGGTTTTTGGGGAAAAAAAAAAAAAAAAAACCCCAAAAAGGCTTGAAATGGCCCGTACGGGGATCGAACCCGCGACCTTGGCGTTATTAGCACCACGCTCTAACCAACTGAGCTAACCGGCCACGAGGCTTTCCGGCAGAACAACTGTTTTTATATGTGTACCATATGTACTGCTCACGAACGCGGTATAAATTGGTTGAACAAGCTCATATTCTTGTGGTTGGTTCTCTCTTTCACTTTTTCATTGCACTTGTCGCATTCCACGACAACCAATAAAAGCAAATACTAATTCTACGAGGCGAAAAGAAAACCTCAGCCCCACATCGACGACGTCTTTCTTTGCCACGAAGCAGCATCAGCCAGGTCTGTTGCCATAGTTACGAGAGAGCGAGAGAGCGACAGAGAGAGAGAAAGCGAGAGGGAGAGAGGGTGAGACTGATCACGTGACCCAGCAAGATGGCGACTATAATGTAGAATGGGGATGTGAGTACCACGTCTTATTGGCTAACCTTTGGGCTACTAAAACCAGCGTGTGTTCTCACATTGTTGGGAGCCGTGTTTGTTGCACTTTTATTTTGCTACGAAGCAAATGCTTTTTCTTCACAGTGTAACTTTAAAAGAAAAGGGTCCACCAGCGCCGCCTTATCCTCCAGGACAGCCTACCAACTAAAGTGAATCCGCTAACGTTAGCTTTCTTATATACCGTGGTTATCTGTTATTGTGGCTGATTACTCAGCTGGTTTTACTCTGACCCGGGTAGCTCACCTCCAGCTGCGGCTGCACTCTCACCTTGTTCCGCTTGTGTCCTCTTCTCTTTCAGGATTTAAACTGAGAGGGTGGAAATTTGGATCTGCTGCCTAATTGTTCATCATCATTATTATCTTAGAATCAAGATGGCCCTAAATGTCTTTGGTAAGCAGCATCTCACAGTACACGATTGTCCCTGGAATGTCTTATGGATTTAAGAATGGTGTGTTAATTTGTTTATGATTAACTTCCAATCTGTTGTTTAAACATGTTGTTTAAAAATGAAAAGTGGTCAGTGGTCGTATTCACAGAAGTTTCAAATAGTAGACTTGATTTAATGAAGAAAAATCCAGATCCTTTAAATAAGGAAAACTAGTATTGCATTATAGCCATAAGTGGTTCAGTTTGCAGTTATAATTCTTTATAGCATCTCTTATGGACTCCAGGACACTTTGTTTTTAATTATGGTTTGGTTTTTGGGTTGTTTTTTTTTAACAAGATGTACTGTCTACCAGCTTTTGCAATCAAAAGTCTGATCTGAATGCACTGTTGTGCCAAATATATTTTGCTTTTCCAAGACAAGCTCTGTAAATTCTCTACAGGCTCCTCATGTTCGTCTTTCTCATCTTCTTTTTTTCTTTTTCTTTATTCATTTTTATTATGACTCACATAATATGTGCAATATAAATATGTCAAATCTGAGGCGACTGTTGTTGTGATTTGGCGCTATATAAATAAAATTGAATTGAATCAGTGTAGATAAGTATTCCCATTATAAGTAAAATTTCCTTCAAAAGTAAAAGTCATCGTTTAGTTGTTTTTATATACATATATATTATATTATATTATATTATATTATATTATATTATATTGCTCATGTGCCCCTGGTAGCTGTAATAAACAGCCAAGCTCTCAGTGTTGCAACTAGCTCTACATATTGATAGTATTTTAATGATATGATATATAATATCATAGCCATCAGTGGTTTCACTTTATTTTTATTTTATTTTTCATTCCTTTCAGGACATCAGACAATCCGCTAACAGCTCGTATTTGAAATGTGACTTTGTTAAGAGGTCATAAGCATTTAATCTTTAGCAACCCGTTGTATTTTAAAGTTTGCTTTTTTAATGTAAATATACGAGGCAATTTACTGTAACCCTTATTTTCTGAATGTAGCAAAGGGCCAAGTGTTTCTTACATGTGTTATGAAGGAGGAAAAGTGCCCATTTGTTGTTGCAGATGCCGGGAGTGTGAACAGTCCGTGTGTTTTGTCTGGGTTCTTGTTAGTTTGTGTATCTTTGAGCCTGTGTTGCCTCAAGAAAAGGAGGGTGAGACGATTGGCCGGGGAGGATTTGGAGTTATTTTGAAGACAGGATACCGAGACGACAAGTGTTGAATAGATAAGGCTTGTAGAGTGGCCTCTGTACACAAGGACAGGAAGCGGACTGTTAGTTTTACCCATGCAAAGAAGATGGAAGACGGAATACATTTCTGAATTGGCCAGATGCTGACAAAAATATATTTTCGAGGCCTGGGTTAAAGAGGACCTTTTGTACTGATTTCCAGTTTCAAATTTTTGGTCTTGGATTCTGCTAAAGTAGCTTTGCATGGTCTAATGTTTAAAATAAGCTTAATTTATCTTATGATTTGCCTTCACACAGGACCTGAACAGCTATCTAAAACTCTCCACTTTAAGCTAACTTTCTGCTTATTGGCTGTTGTTCAAAAACAGCAGGTATCTCCTCTCACTGACATCACACATCAGCCGAAAAGCTCAAACACTGTGTTCAGAGCAGTCCAAACCCTGAGCCTTTGGCTCACAGGGATTACTGTACACATACTGACCTCATAATTTGAAACTCTGTAGAAGCTGTAACTGTATATATGTGACACAAAATAGGGGTCCACTTTAAGTATTTTAATTTAGTTTTTGTTAGATGTTCAGTGTAGGATTTCTTAATTATTTTCACAAACGATATTTTTGATATGTTTATTTCCACTCTTTTTGTACATACAATCTAATTGACTGTTCAAAGCATTATGTGGAATATTACCTGTTATACTGCAGAAGTTATGTGATATAAGACAGTTTTGCTGAGCAATCGAGAAAGCTACTTTTCTCAGAGTGCTTTGAAACAAAGCTAGCTAATTTAAGCATTACTAACTATGGAATCATCAAAAACAAGCTTTACATAGCACTGTGAACATGACACTTTATAAATCACATCTCACTTTTCACAGCATGAGTCAGATAAGCTATATCTTTAATGATTTGTATACAATGGCCAGTAACTCAGTTCAAAATTGCTATGCTTATTTTTTTTGTTTTGCTTTGGAGTTGTCTGTATGTTTTTGTGGTTATGTGTAAATGTATAGGTACATTTATATGTATGCATATAGGCATTCTGCTACTGTAAATAACCTTATAAAATATTTATTTGTAGAAAGTGTAGGTTCGTAAGATTTTCTTCTTCCTGCATCTTTTCGCCTTGGTGTATGTGAGGATGTTTTTATATGCTAACTCAAGTGAGACACAAAGACAGGACTAAAAAAGAGTGAAGAAGCAGCCAGTGTCCAAAGGAAAACTTTGAAAAAGCTTCAGAAATCCTGGAGAACCAGATGAAAAGATGAGGAGTAATTCAAAACTTTTGCTCAGTCCTGTGAATATACACAAAATGCCAAACTCAGAGCAGAATAAGATATAAACAAAGCAAATAGAAACTGCAGTATAATGAAGTACAAAGAAGCAAGACATCATTCATTGCAACTACGTGACTGAATCCTCTTTACGGCACATGAAGGATAAAGTAAACAGCATGTCGTAGTGACCGATGACGCCTTTGTCATGCTTATGTAACAAGACTCACTTTGTCCCAGTACAAGTGGAAGTGTTAAATCTCATTTCTGTTGGGAATTGAGGTCATTGCAGTAACAACACATGCAATAGATGTAAAGTGCAGAATTTAAATGTGTACCTTGGGATTTTACAGGCGCCACAATGGGTGTCTTTGAGTAGAAGTGCTCAGCAGCTCCGCAAGAGTTCACCCAGACTCCACACCAGCGCCTGGGGCCAAAAGTGTTTCGGTTTTAATTAGAGATGGCACGATACCACTTTTTTATGTCCGATACCGATATCATAAATTTGGATATCGGCCGATACCGATATGAATCCGATATAGTGTGTTTTTTAATCAATAAAACTGTTTTTTTTAATATCTTGCTTTTTGTATAAGTTAATACTCAAGTTAAAAAACAAACAAACAAACACTAAAGCTATTCTGTTATATCTGTATGCAAAAAATACATTGCACCCAAAATATTTCATAGTTCAGCAACACTGATCAATCTAATAAACTTAAACCTACTCCATCCTCCCTATTCTGGTATTTTAAAGAGTAAGCAACCTAACTAATAGGATTCTAAAACTCCCAGCACCACCTCCTGATGCTTAATTGACGTAATCAACTTTAATTTGATGCAGTGTGAAAAAAAATACACAGAAATCAGTTATTTTTCAAGAATAATTAAATAGATTCAACATCTTTCTTCAACAGAACTGCAGACTGCACAGATTGTACCTTCCCAAAGGAAAAAGTACTATAGCTTACTAGGGTATGTTAGACTTAATAGTTACTATATACAGTAATGGACTTCTATACATTTTACATCAGATTAAAACTTTGGGTGTAAGATTCAGATAATTATTTATTAAAAGCGAGACATTTTAAATGAGAATAAGAAAGAAAAGTATGTCTTTGTGCCCCCTTTTCCCTGTTAATGCCCTATCAGCCCCCCTGGCTAAACTTTGCTAGATCCACCCCTGCACAGTTACCAGTGTCAGCTACGTAGAAAAAGATCCTGGTGTAGAAAGTAATATTAAATAAATTCTAACAACAGCTTATCAAGTTTAAACGTGCTGCTGTTGTTCAGCCGCTGGTTTCCTCTTTCTGGTGCAAAGTGGGCAATAAACAAACAAGAGAGACGGATTCGCGACAGAAAAGCCGATCAGCTGATCATTGATCAGTTTCATGATTGAAGTAGCAGCAGGAGAGGGAGAGAGAAGAGGCAGTCGCTTCATATATCGGTTGTTAAGCTTAATTCTGGAACGCTTTATAAACATTCAGAGATGAACTTACACACTTGCTTTACTTCTCTCTGGGATAACTTCCTCGGAGATGAAATGCTGGTTTGGTAGCGAGGCTACAAATACACACAGCCGCTCTATCATGTGATGCATACTGCTCCTACGTGCTACGGTTATGAGCCGAGTTACGCCATGTCGCAAGTTTTGTGAGGTGCTTTTTTGATATTTAATGGATCGGATTACATTTTATATTTCCCTCCGATATCCGATCCAGTAATTTACGTCAGTATCGGACCGATACGTAATATCGGATCGGTCCATCTCTAGTTTTAATCACATTCGCTAATACTACTGTCAGTGTATATGTTCTGTTACAACCGAATAAAACTACAGGGGAACGCTGCCATGATGTTGATATCCATCTACAATTAATTTCACACGGCCTGAGGAAGGGAGGGGAGCTGACAGTAAAAGCTAGTGTGAGGGTAACAAAGATAAACACTGCACAGCTCATTTAAAAGCAACCACGGTATAAATGAATCTTTCACAGCATTTTATGCTTCACGGAGTAGATTTATTCATTAAGCCACTTAGTCGCCAATTATGCTCTGTGTGGTTTCTGCTGTGGAAAAACTTAATCCATCAATCTGATGTCCCAAGGTAATTGCATACAGACTAGAAAATAAAGCAGCCATGCTGTCAGTGTTGGAGCGTAGATTTCTGTGTTTGTTTGGCTTGTTTGCTTCAGCAATTTCAAGGCTTAGCTGTGAAATTCATGTGAGTGCCCTAAAATCGTAATGCTCTTCCCTGATGTGATTGTAAAACATTTGATTTTTGTCTGTACATTAAGCTTCCCCTTTCTTTACGGTGGTCTAATGTCAAAGAGATAATGAATTGATCAATACTTCCGCATTCTGATGCAGTTGTATGTTTAATGAATTAAAATTAAAATTTAGACACAGAGCTGTTGCGTCACTGTCATGTTTTCGCCACATGGGGGTGCTGCATCAAAGGAATTAAATGAGAGCTTTCTGTGTCCTCAGATCATGATGAATACAGGCCACCAGTGTGGAAATCCTACTGTAAGTATCAATATACCTTTTGTTTGTTTGTTTGTTTGTTTTCAAACATACCTAAATATTTTGTCTTCTTTGTTTTCAATGATTGTTTGATGATTTTATAACATGGCCTCTTTCCCGTCACAGTGTATCAGCTCCAGCAGGAGGCACCTCACCCACGCAGAGTCACCTGCACCTCTGAGGTGAGAGCACATGTCCTTATTATCAACCAGCACATTCTAGCACGTCTCATATTTTGAAATCCGCTTTTTATCTGTGTGATGTTGCAGTGAAAAAACATCAATAGATCTGCTAGATACACACAAGGCTTTGCTCAAATTCTTATCCTCATTGAACTCGTCTTCAAATGCAAAAGTAGTTTTTCTTCTCTAACATGTTTTCCACGGTCAGCTCAACAAGACAGTCACACTTGGAGCATAGTTGTCAATTTTATTGCATTTTTCATTTGCAGTATTTTGTGGTGATGTTTCTCAATCCCTTTATCTGGATAAACCTTTGCTTCTTTAAAAGTTAAGGTTTCTGCAAGTGAGATTTTGAATGTTAGCAGCAGAAAACTATTTGATAACTATTTAAATCCATTCCCTATGCTTGTTTTGGTAAGTGGTCCAGCATTGTGTCCATGTTAGCATGTTGGTCACCCCCAAAGTTTATAAAGAACACAAAATGAGTCAGGTAGGAGCACTAACTAAATTCTAAACTAAACGTTCAGCCAGTTCACCAAAAGAAAAAAAAAAAACTTTATTCTTTTCTGCGTTTGTGTGTCTGTTTCTGCATATCTGTGCATATATTCTAAGTGCCACAGAGTAGATACTAGAGATGGACCAATCCGATATTACGTATCGGTCCGATACTGACGTAAATTACTGGATCGGATATCGGAGAAAAATAAAAAAAAAATGTAATCTGATCCATTAAATATCAAAAAAGCACCTCACAAAACTTGCGACATGGCGTAACTCGGCTCATAACCGTAGCACGTAGCAGCAGTACGGGTCACGTGATAGAGCGGCTGTGTGTATTTCTAGCCTCCTTAGCAATCCGGCATTTCATCTCCGAGGAAGTTATCTCAGAGAGAAGTAAAGCAAGTGTGTAAGTTCATCTCTGAATGTTTGTAAAGCATTCCTGAGTTAAGCTTAACAACCGATATATGGAGTGACTGCTTCTCTCTCCTGCTGCTACTTCAATCATGAAACTG